TCTATCTATCTATCATCTATCTATCTATCTATCTATCTATCTATCTATCTGTCATCTATCTACCTATATCATCTAGCTATCTAGCTAACTATTGATCATTATCATCATCTATCTATCATTTGGATATCTCTCACCTATCAATTATCTACATTTTCTTGTTTTGTTTTGTAATTTATTTAAAATTTATTTTTATTTTATGTGTATGAGTGTTATGCTTGTATGCATGTAAGGTAAGTGTACCCGTGTCACACAATGCCTGTGGAGGACAGAAGAGGGTGCCGGACCTTCTGGAACTGGAGTTATGGCTAACTGGTTGTTAGCCGCCATGTGGGTGCTAGGATATGAACCCAGGTCCTCTGTAAGAGCAAACAGTGCTCTTAACTGCTGAGCCATCTCTCCAGCCCCTCCCCACCTTTTGAGACAGGATCTTACTATGTAGATCAGGCTGGCCTCAGTCTCACAGAAATCCACCTGCCTCTGTCTCCCGAGTGCTGGGATTGAGGGTTGTGCCAACACACTCAGCATCTATCTAAATTTTAACTGATGTAACAGTACATGTTTGCAGGTCATGGTGTGTGATGACTGGACTGGCCACCACTGTGATGACTCAGCTGCCTACCACCTAGACAGACATCATTGCTTTGTGTTGGAACTGTTCAGAATCTTTTCCACTGGGAATTCTGAAACATGTAATCGCTGTCAGTCGTAAGTCAGTAACCGTAAAGCTGCGAGGCAGACATTGGGAAGTCCTGTCTGCCAGCATCCTCCATCCATGCTGCAGCTTCCGTAGCCCGCTCTTCTTTCCATGTCTATGAGGTTGGCTCTCTCAGCTTCCACCCATGAGTGAGAACACTGGGTGTTTGTCTTTGCACCTGACTTGCTTCATGTGCTGTGACAGTCTCTACTCCATCCACGGTGCTCCAAATGACAGAATTTTGTCTGAGATGGGGCAGCTGGCCTGGAACTCACTATGTAGACCAAGCTGGCCTCCACTTCACAGAAATTCACCCGCCTCGGCCTCCCAAGTGCTAGGGTCAAAGGCATGTGTCATCACACCCGGCTTAGGACTTTATTATTATTATTATTATTATTATTATTATTATTATTATTATTATATTTTTTTGAGACAGGGTCTCCCTGTAGCCCCAGCTGGCCTGGAACTCACTATGTAGACCAGACTGGCCTTGAACTCACAAAGATCCACCTGCCTCTGCTTCACAAGTGCTGGGATTAAAGGCGTGTGCCACCACGCCCAGCTAGGACTTTACTTTTTAATGGCTGAATAGTGTTACGCATCATGTTCATTCTCCCAGCAGCCAGAAGCCGGGCTGTCCCCACTGTCCAGCTACTGTAGACAGGGCTTCAGGAAGCATGGGCGATGGAGGTTCTCTGACGCTCTGACAGGGTGTCCTCCTGACGTGTTCTGAACGGTGGGAAGGCTGGGGCCTGAAGTAGCTCAACTTCTAGGCTTTCTTTGGTCCTGCTTTATTTTCTCTTTTAGCTCATTTTTGGTACACAGAAATGCTAATGATTTTTGGACACTGATTTTGTATCCTGCAACTTTACAGAATTTGTCAGCTCTAACACTTCTTTTTTTTACAGAGATTGGAAGTTTTCTCTCTTGCCATCTGCAAACAGTGGTGTCTGACTACCCCCTTTCTGATCCATACTTCATTTTCTTCCCTTGCTTAACTACTCAGGCCAAGACTTCCGGTGCTGTGTCGATGAGGGTGGTAGGTGTGCTGGATGCTTCGGTTGTCAACTTGACACACCGGGGAGGACAGAACCTTAGTAGGGAAATTTCCTCTATCAACCGGCCCATGGCCAAGTTGGTAGGGGCGTTTTCTTGACTACTGAGTGATATGGAAGGGTCCAGACTACTGTGGGTGGTGCTACACTGGACAGGTGGTCCTGGGTTGTATAAGAAATTAGACTGAGTACAGGCCAGAGTAACAAGACAGTAAGCAGTGTTCCTCCATGCTCTGTGCTTCTGTTCCTGCCCCAAGTTCCCTCCATGATGGACTGTAAGCTTTAAGGCGAAGTAAACCCTTCCCTCCCCGAAGTTTCTTTTGGTCAGTGTTTTATCACAGGAATAGAAAATAAATAGGATAGAGAGATAGATAGGTCACAGACATATGATGAGTGACAGGTCATAGATACACATAAGTGAGAAATGGCAGATGAAAGATGACAGGTAACTGATGGGTGATGGGTGACGGAACACAGACAGAGGACAAATGACAGATGACCTATCTTCCAGACTCCAGGGGAAACACTTTCAATGTTCCCCATTCAGGGTGATGCTAGCTGTGGGTCTATCATATATGTTGACATAAGACCCTTCTTTGCTGAGCAACTTTCCCATAAGGGGTTGGTAAAAGCAATGACCCATTTTACCCATGTTTCCAACACACAGGCATAAGGCCAGTCTTGCCGGTGTCATATCTTGACTCCCTGCTCTTGGTTGTGTCTCTTTTATATCCCTATTACCATTAATTCTATCACTTTAATTAGTCTTGACCAAATTTTATTTTATGTGTATGAATGCATTGCCTTGCAAGTGTCAGTGCACCCATGTCGGGCAATGAGCTCTTCTGAGAGGGCTCTGGATTCCCTGGAATTGGAGTTATGAATGGTTGTCAACTGCCACGTGGCTGTTGGGAACCAAACCCAGGTCCTCTGCAAGAGCAGCCAGTGCTCTTCACCACTGAGCCATCTCTCCAAGTCCATATTTATTACTATTCTTAAGGAAAATATTTCTGTTTGGGTGTAGTGGCCCATGCCCATAACCTGAGCGTGTGGAAGTGGGAGGATCAGGAGTTCAAGGTCATCCTTGGCTACATAGGGAGTTCCAGGACAGCCTAGGCTACATGAGATCCTGGCTGAAAAAAAAAAATCCTGGTGCAGACAGTTTGCATTTCTGTAGCTCTGATGCCCGTTTAAATGATTTCTACTATTGCAGTCCTTATTTTGTAATTCTCTGTCTCTCCCAGCTGTGGTGTGTGGCTTATGTGCTGTCTGCAATGACTGAGATTGTGGATCCAAGCAGACCTGGGGAAGGACTGGGCACAAAGCAGGTCTGTGTACAGGACCCGGCAGCTGCCACTCTGGAGGTCCTTCCCTCTGCATTTCTGGCTGTCAAGGGTCTTGCTCTGGTATCCAGTCTCCTGGGCTTCTCCTTTTTATTTATTTATTATTTTTATTTAATGTGTATGAGGGTATTGCCTACATGTGTGTAAGTGCACCCATGTTGTGCAATGCCCAAGGTCAGAGGAGGTTGTCAGATCTCCTGGAACTGGAGTTAGGACAGTTGTTAGCCACCATGTGGGTTCTGGGATTCGAACCCAGGTCCTCTGTAAGAGCAGTCAGTGCTCTTAACTGCTGCACCACCTCTCCAGCCCCCTGGACTTCTCCTCTTAAACATCTCCTTTTAGTCTGTCTGCTGCTTTGTTCCTCCAGGGCTTTGACTTCCCTCCCAGGTCCTGGAAAGTGTTTGTTTTCTTGACTGTTCTGCCCTGTGGGATCACAGCCCCGGTTTCTCGAGGTCTCCCCGGTTTCTCAAGGTCTCCCTGGTTTCTCGAGGTCCCCCGTCCCTGCACTTTCTATGCTGGTGTTCCCATCTTCTGAGACTGCAGTGAGCATGGACTCAGACCTCCAGCCAGTGAAGGTGGTGGGGGCAGTCACCCAGGGTGGGGACAGTCACCAGGGCGGAGCTCTTCAGTCAGGGGAGGCTAGGCTTGGGGCATAGCCGTAGGCTGGAAGTTCAACCTTTCCCAGGCTGAGTTCACGTGGGGCTTGAGTTCTACCTTCCTGCCTTCTGAGGCTTACAACTCAAGACATCATGGGGACCAGCAAACACCCCAGCAGGGTGTGTGTCATCAGTGCAGGGCCCTCACCCTGGCGTTCACCCATCCTCCCTTCCTGTCTCTGGAGCTCCCTTAGCTTCTTGAGAGCTCATCGGAGCATGGGAAAGGACTTTGCTTGCTGTAGGCTTTTCTGGCTGTCTCATTTCCAGCCACAGGTGAAAGTGGAAAGTTAACATTTCAGGAAGTGGGGGTTGGGGGAGCACACAGTGAGGGGTGGGAATAGAACAAGCGTGGTCTTGGGAGACCCTCCAGGCATATGCTGAATGGATCCTATGACATAAGCACTCAATTGTATAGCTGGGTGATATCTGTTACACATTAAAAGTTCTATTATGTAGAAAAGAAACAATTGTGGTAAAATGTCACTGCACAGCTGTACAGGGTGTGCGGCGCAGGCTGCGCAATGACCTCAGGCTTCAGCAGAGTTGCGTGTGCCTGGTTTCATACTTCACTCTACTGTAAACTTCTCAAATATTAAGAAAAAGAAGAATCAAAGGCACGTGAAGACCAGCAGTGCTCTATGTCCAGAAGGAAACCACGTAAGGAGACCACATGCCACCCGCACACCCTGCTCACTGCCCCAGCCTGCTGAAGAGGTGGGCAGGTGGGCGCTATTACCTTCTCCTGGTACAGCTTGTGAAGCCACTGGGCAGCGCCGCTCTCATCTGCTGGGATGTCCTCCAAGGGAAACCTCCTGTTTCATGAGAGAGAGCAAGAGGAAGCCAGTCATTCAAGGGCCAGGAGGCCAGCCCACTGTTCAAGTCAGCCTCACTCTTCATTCCCACAAGTGGAAGTGAAGTCCTCCTTGGCCTTCACACAAGCACACTGGACTCTTCCAGGGATGGTCAGCCCTCCATGGGAGGGCCGAGGGTGGCCTCTGCATCTGGGGACTCTGATGAGCCACCAGCCTGGCAGAGCCTCCCTCTGTTTCCCCACAAGGTCCTTCTCACACACTCACTGTTGGAGATAGCCAGGACTGTCATTTTTTTTTTTTTTTTTGGTCTTTTTGAGACAGGGTCTCCCTGTAGCCCCAGCCATCCTGGAACTCACTATGTAAACCAGGCTGGCCTTGAACTCACAGAGATCTGCCTGCCTCTGCCTCCCGAGTGCTGGGATTAAAGGCATGCACCACCACGCCCTGCTAGGACTGTCATCTTGACTCTCACCTTGACTGGGCTGAGAAAAACAAGGTTAGTAAGGCACACTTCTGGGCGTCTGCGAGGGTGTTTCCTGTTGGATTCAAATTTTACACAGACTATTGGGAGGTGGTAGAACTGTGGTGGGTGGGGCCTGGCTGGGAATGCCTTTGAAGTGTGTATCTTGGCCACTTCCTGTTACCGTCTCAGCATCCCAGCCAGCCACCAGGACGTCATCAGCTTGGGGTTGGCACCATGGTGTTTCAGCCCACAACGCAGCCAGCCCACAGGGCTGAATTCGGACACCAGAAGCTAAAGGAAACTTTTCCTCAAGTTGTTTAGGCAGAATCAGCAGCACAATGTGAACTAAGTTCCCAGAAAGGGAGAAATGTAAAAACATTAAATATTAGTCTTTTCTCTCAAACCTGTAAAACTTGGTCTATGACAAGGAATTCTAACCCTTTAATCCCACCATACCCTGTAAGTCTTTTAAGGCCCAGATGCATTCCTGGCCCTGATGGCCTGGGGCGGGGGCGTTCTTCCCTGATGGCCCAGGCCATGGAGCTCTTCTCTGCTTCCTTTGTGCAATTCTGTAGTTTATTTACTTCTTTAAGGTGTATGAGGGTATCACCTGCATGTGGGTAGGAACACCCGTGTCATGCTAAAGGACCCAGGTCACACTGGCTCCATTTCTTACCAGCCTCCATCTTGTCAGCCTTAAGTCTCTGTTCCCAGAAACTGTAAGTCTCCCTTGCCCCATACTGCGGGCTGAGATCAGGCAAGCCCCAACATGCCTTGCTTATCTGAGTCTAACAGAAACCAACTGAAATTCCCGACCATAAAAGGGCATCCAGAGGCTGATAGGGACACCCTACCGTCAAAGGAAAAATTGAGACATTCCAGGTGGCTGACCATGACTATAACCAATGAAATTTCCCCTGTACAAGGAATTCAGAGTTATCCAATCAATTCAAAGGTTGCCCAGTTTGTGCAGGCTTTTTCAAGAATACCCAATAAAAACTCCGGCTCATTGTTGGTCGGGGCCGGATTCCATTCTCTGGCTCCTGGAGTCTGTGCGCAACTGGTCGTTCAAGAATTGGAATGTTTTTCAATAAAATTTTCTAAATTTCGAATTTTACTGGGTAGTCTCCAGTCATTCCCGAACCTTGGACCCAACATTTTGGGGGCTCATCCAGGATTCAGAAATATTGGACGGGCCCCCTTTTCTGGCAAGAGCACTCGTCTGCCAGCTGCCTTTGGTGAGTTTTCCTTTGGTTTCTGTTTCTGGTGTCCGGACAGTCTGAGGCTCATGGGAGACCAGGTGGACATGCTATTGGTCTCAGAGCCGGAGGAGTCTGGGGGATGCCCCGACTTCTCTCTGGGTGGGGGAATCTAGGGGATATTCTGGCCTGGCCCCCTTTGGGAAAGGAGCAGTCTTTCCGACTGACACCGCACTCTGCGAAATCTTTCTGCCAGCTCGCAGGGAGCTTCCTTCTTCGGTGCTCTCTGCTTCTTTCTTGCAGTTTCATTTCTGTTATCGTGTGAGTCTCTTGCTCCTGTTTGCCTTAATACCCTCTCTCCTCCTATTCTTCCTTGAGATCTTTCCCAAGATGGGTCAACAGGTTCCCTTTATGCCTCTTGACCTAGTCCTTGACCATTTCTCAGATTTCCAGAAGGTGGCTTCCATGATGTCTGGACTACGTGTCAAGCCTGGCCACCTGAGGACCTTCTGTTCCATTGAGTGACCCTCCTTTAAAATTGGCTGGCCCTCGGAGGGCTCTTTTGATTTAACTCTCATTTACAGGGTGCATGAGGTCGTCTTTGGCTCCCCAGGACACCTGGACCAGAACCCCTATATCTTAGGCTGGCTCCATCTGGTCATAGACCCTCCCAAATGACTGAAACCCCCGGTCCTCCCCCGGTTGGCCCAGGAGGAAGAGCTCCTCTTTCCTCCTCCCTGTGTTCTGGCCGCACCCCCAGGGGGCCAGCATCCAGAGGGCTCTCCACTCCCTGCAGCCTGACCACGAGTCCAGCTCCCCCAAAAGGAGGAATCAGAGGACCTTCCCTCTCCCTCCTTGGCCTCGGGCCTCACCTCTCCCGGCCCAAGCCCACTGCACACCCAATCTCAGGGAGGGGAAAGAATTGTTCGACCTTTGCCACTGAGGGAAGTCGCCCCCCCCATGCAGACAGGGTGACCCCTCCCTAGCTTACTTCCCTTTTTCTACAAGTGACCTCTATGACTGGAAGTTGCAAACTCCCTCCTTCACGGAGAAACCATAGGCTCTAATCAGCCTTCTGGACACTGTCCTTTTCACCCACCAACCTACTTGGGATGATGGTCAGCAGCTGTTGCAGGTCCTTTTTACCACTGAGGAGAGAGACCAGACCCGACAGGAATGCCGCCGGCTGGTCCCCGATGACGACGGGCAACCCACTGACAATGAGAAGCAGATAGCTGCTTCCTTTCCCCTTACCCGGCCTATGAGAGTATGGGACTACAACAGACTACAACACAGCTGAAGGTAGGGAGCACCTGAAGGTCTATCGCCAGGTTCTAATGGAGGGTCTCTGGGCTGCCATGAGGCACCCCACAAATTTATCTAAGGTCAGTCAGGTAATACAGGAAAGGACAGACACACCAAGAGCTTACCTAGAACATCTCCTAGAGGCCTATAGGACCTATACCCCCTTGGACCCAGAAACACCAGCAAACCAAATGGAAATTAATATGGCCTTTGTAAACCAGGTGGCCCCTGACATCAAGAGAAAGCTCCAACACCTTGAAGGATTTGAAGGTAAAAATCTAATGGAATTGGTAGCAGTGGCTAATAAGGTATATAAAAATAGAGAGACCCCAGAAGAACGACAAACAAAGGGGCTCGCCAAAATTCTCCTTACTGAAAGGGGAAAGCCTCCACACCCAAGGTTCAAGGCCCAGATGGCTGGAAGCCGTCCCCCACGCTGGGGAAGTAGGGAAAGACCTTCTCTTAAAAAGGATCAATGTGCTTATTGCAGGGAGTTGGGACATTGGAAGGGTTAATGCCCCCTCAAGAGACAAGGAAAAAGTCCCAAGGTCCTAAAGCTAACTGAGATAGAGGACTGAGGGGGACAGGGCTTGAGGACCCTCCATCACGAGCACTGGGTAACTCTACAGATGGAGAGACGACCAGTTGACTTCCTGGTCGATATAGGGGCACAATATTCAGTTTTAAAGAAGGCTATGGGGAAGCTGACCAACAGATTCACCTGGGTCCAGGGGGCTACTGGGATAGCTCAACACCCCTGGGCCACAAAACAAACGGTAGACTTGGGGAACAAGAAGATCACTCACTCCTTCATGGTAGTCCCTGAGTGCCCCTACCCTCTGCTAGGCCAAGACCTCCTAACTAAGATGAAGGCCCAGATTCATTTCACAGGGGATGAGATAACAGTTACTCCACAACCGGAAGCTTATATTCTGTGCTTAAACTTAGAAGAAGAATATAGACTCTATTCCTCCCCACCAGTTTCCGAGCCATCTCCTCTCCTGATTAGCCTCCAGAAGATGATACCTGGGGTATGGGTGGAAACCAACCCGCCTGGGCTGGCAAAACAGACCTCCTGTGGTCATGTCCCTGAAGGTTGGCGCGCAGCCAGTCAGGATAAAGCAGTATCCCATGACCCCAGAGGCAAAAATGGGGATAACAAAGCACATTAACCGGCTCCTAGAGCATGGAATGTTGATGCCCTGCCAGTCCCCATGGAACACCCCTCTATTACTTGTCAAAAAGCCAGGGACCGAGGACTATCGACTGGTCCAGAACTTAAGGGAAGTCAACCGACGGGCAGAGGACATCCACCCTACGGTGCCCAACCCTTACACCCTCTTGAGTTCGTTGAGGCCAGACCTTGAGATGTATACAGTATTAGAGTTGAAAGATGCTCTTTTCAGCCTGATGCTTGCAACCAGCAGCCAACGGCTCTTTGCCTTTGAATGGTATGACCCAGACCGAGGGCTCAGCAGCCAGCTCCCCTGGACCAGGCTGCCTCAGGTTTTAAAAATTCTCCTACTATCTTCAATGAGGCACTCTATCAGGACCTCTGTGAGTACTCGGCCTCCCACCCTACTATAAGCCTCCTCTAGTACATAAGATGATCTCCTGATAGCAGCCCCAGATAAAGTTACTTGTGAAGAGGCAACCAAGGACCTGTTACAGACTCTAGAACAGCTTGGATACAAGGTAGCTGGTAAAAAGGCTCGATTGTGTATGAAGCAGGTAACCACCTGGGATATGTCTTAAAGGATGGCCAACACTGGCTCTCCCAGGCCAGGAAACAGACCATCTTGGGCATCCCCACCCCAAAGACCCGGAGACAACTTCGGGAATTCTTGGGATTGGCTGGTTTTTGTAGACTTTGGATTCCTGGGTTTGCAGAAATAGCCAGGCCCTTATATGAGGCCACTAGAGGGCAGGAGAACTCCTTCCAATGGACTGAGCAACAGGACAGCCTTCCAAACCATCAAAGAGGCCATCCTGAAGGCCCCGGCATTGGCCCTCCCTGATATTAACAAGCCCTA